CTCGTTAGGGACTGCAGAATTCGATTCTGAACTTTTATACCCAGAGTTTTGCCTCAAAATGCTTGGTTCGAATGAAACTATCCGCAAGTTCAGGTGAAAAGTACTTTTGGCTCTGAAGTTTCCTCTAGGGCTGTCGGCTTTAACGTTAGTCAACGTTAATTTTCGTTTAACGTTAACGTGTTTTACGTTAACGTTAATTTCAACGTTTAACGTTGGTCGCTTTTAACGTTAACGTTAAAGAAAGTTAACGTTTAACGTTGTCAAAATGACATTTTTATATACGCTGAACACTCCTAGACGATTCTTCAGCTAGGTTATATATATGTGTTTACGATAGAAGACAGGTTACTTTCAGTCAAGTTTTGTAAGTTTCTAGCCTAGCAGTGATAGGCTATCACTTAGTTTTAATAGTTTAAAGGGAAATGTTTGTAGTACATTTTCTTTCTCTCTCTTTCTACCCTACTCAGTTCAAATATGAACAGCTGAATCCTTATCACGACGAATTCTGCTGCACACAAGGTTTGAAGAGCAAGATACTTTTTCTATACACAAAGAGAAAAAGAAAGTTGTGAGACTGAAGTCTACAGTAGTTCCAGAGAAGGCTATGAGAATAAACTGAATCTATGTTACTTAATCTATTGTAGCTCTCTTATCACTTAAATCAGTCATCTCCTTATTTACGAACTTTAAGAACACATTCAGATCGGACGTTTAATTCTATTATTATCCCTAATATTTTCTACAGACAAGAGTAACATAATTAAACGAAAAATATCAGAGAACAAGAGGAAAAGAAGAGATAGAGTTCTACTTTCATTGGTTCTACATTGTCACATCGTTTTCACTTGTTATCACTGTTGTGGTTCTGTTGTCGACTCATAAATGCTTTTTAGAAACATTGAATATCGTAGTGCATCCGGAGCTAATGAACAACGTGTTTTTCTGTTAATAAATCCGGCGACAGAAAATGCCGATTCGCTGGACACTGATGACGGTTGTATACATGAATATCGTTTCACCAATCTTGCTAAATCCGGTAATAATAGTTCATGTCGTTTCCAGAATGATTGAAGATCGGGTATATTCTTATGATTGGCAATATAGACTGCAAGTTGTTCTTTAATATTGAAATCGCGTGGAGTTGAAGAAACGGTTGTTGTCGCCGTTGTAACACCCGCACCACATGTATTTAAAAAATGATCCAATACATTTAATGGTAATCTTGAATGTGATAATACTTGTGACTTTTATTTAACATTATCGAAGTGACTGTTGCTGCTGATGTGGACGACGTGGTTGTTGTTGAAACTTTCTGAAATACTTTAGCAACACGTAATACTTCTTTTTCGGCTTTTTCTAGATCTTCGGGGTATCTTGCCAAATAATCGTACAGTTGAGGATCAAGAAACGCTGTAATCTAAAAAATACACAGAAAACGATATAATTTTCTCAGTCTGATTATAAATCGGTTACTCTTACCTTTGGTTCTGTACAATGTTTACATTGAAGTTGATCATTGACTTTTATAAAGTTTGATAAGATTTCGTCCATTGTTACTGTCGTTGTTTTCTTCCGTTTTTTATTTTTTATAATTAATGTTAAATCACTGGCAGTAGAATCATTCAAAATTCGTTTTTGATCATTATTATTGATATCGTCTTCAATCTGTTCTTCCTCATTATCACTATTTTGCAGTTGTCGATGTGAATTTGTTAGATCTGATGTTGAAGTTTGCATATCATCATTCCCAATCAATAATACAGATTCATCTTTTGGCGTAATCGATATGGAAATTGAAGTTCTTCTGGATTTTCTCGTCGATGTTGATGATTGAACTTGCTGTTTTCGTACACTTATTGGAGATGAATGTGATAACGGTGCTGTAATTTTATTTGATAATCGCTGACTTTGTCTCGGTGGAGGCATAGAAGTTATACTAGCTGTACTAGCTATACTAGCTGTATGAGACCTGTTCCTACTCATTTTGTATGTACTAATGAATATGTGTACCGTTTTGAATAAGACTTATATATATGTAGAGAACAAAGCTTTATATTCTGCCTGCCTATTCATTTAGGAACACAGAGATGTTAGAATAGTCTGTCTTTTCTTTTCTTTATTTCCTTTCATGTATAGAGACAGAAAGAAAAAGAGGAGTTCTACATATAGAATAAACACATGTGATGTATTTTTTCGTTCTTTCTCTGTTCTTTTTCTGTCAAAAGAACGTGTTACTAAAATATATCTTAGGAGGAAAGTAGAAAGAAAACTGAAGTGTTGTCAATTCTGAATTAAATCGAACTTTACTTGCCATGAAAGAAAGAAGTTAAGCACGACTTTGATACGCTCATAAATGTGTCTTAAAAGACATTCATAGAACATTATACATTATATAGAAGAAGTATTTTTCTCTTCGAATATTGTACCCACTCTAACTCGCCGTGGTAAAGATTTTAAATGCTGATATTTGAACCAAGTGGAGTAGGCAACGAGAGGAACACATTGAGCTATAAACATTGTACCTTTAAATTAGACAACGAGTTCACTTACATGTAATTAAAAGAAAACTTATAAAAAAGAATCAAACGTGCAATATGGTCTACCGTAAATGCATCTTCTTTCAACTTT